GAGACTATGTATTGCTTTTGAGTCTTTTGTGTCTATAGATTAAGTTTACTGATTCTTTTGATAATCTTTCCTCTCCCAGCTCTCGTTTGCTGTTATGGTCAAGGCTAATTCTATGCTCCCGACATCCTGAGCTTTGACAGCCTCACGCGTTTACACGTAACTTCACGGTATCGATCCATGCAACTATCTTTATTTTGTCCATTAGAGTTTACGCGGCTGAGTTCTCCTCTCTAACAGTGGTTCAGAAAAGTTCCTACTAGGCACCTGGGAGGGAGTCCTTAGTGTTGTCAATTATTTTGGTCTCTCTGTATCCAATACTAATATTTGTACTTGATAAACTAATACAGAAATTCAAACCAATTCCCATCTGGTACGTCCGGGAACTTTTGCTTACCGCATGTTTGTACTAGGGTTAGTTGAGACTGATGGTCCGGTCTAGATTATATTCCACTGCACTAACCAGCCACGACCGAATTTATTATGTCGGCTACACCCCAGAAACCGAATTCATGGCGGGCTATGTCTCGATCACTTACCGCTAAACCATCCGACCCAACTAAGAAGACATGAGTCATCATCTAGTAGGACATATCCTCGAACAAAACAAAACTTGTTTAGCTTTGGGGTTTGTAGAGCTACTGAGCCATAGACTATCAGACATATCGGGCTCCTCTATGGTCCAGGCCACACCTTGAACACTGCTTATATACTTTCTTGTTACTTCAAAGATCATTGAAATATTGCCCGTGATCAATAGCCATTCAGCTCAGTATTTACATGTGGAATTCAGCCGCCTTATCCACGGAATCTTCTACGCAAAAGAATTAAGAATTAAAAATAGGTAACAATGCATACGGCGAATGCAGGAAAAATTGTCAAAAAGCCAGGCGAGGCCTAGATACTGGGACCACATGAGGTGCGCATACTCATCTGTATCTCCTTTCTTTGTATCAGTCGAGGCCGACTTGATCCAATCCGCTATCTCCGTATCGGGTGCTGGTTACGCTTCGGAAACTCATCGCATGGCCTTTCCTTCATGATCAAGGGTTGGTGATGAGAAGGGCTTCGACCCTACCATCTGATCTGATCGTGGTTAGCTTCATGATAATTGTCTGGATCCAAATCAGCCTATGGTATGTATACGTCTAAGGCAGAAAGGTTAAGTGTGGCGCGCACAGGCACCTACTTGAATAATGATATTGACCCCTATCATGTAAACAGTTAGCCAAACAAATACATATTAATTCATACCAATATTCAAGCACAAGCTAGAAATCGTAGCCGTCAATTGCTACCAACATTAATAGTACTAGAGGTGGTGCTGAGAGATGAAGGTTCGCAACGGAAACCACTAATCGGTGTTTAGTTTTCGTACCCCCGGCGAGACGTGTCAAAGTTTAGTTTTGGGATGATTCTTTCATACCCAGAATTGTTGAGGAAACCTCTGTCAAGTATTCAATCCTAGTCTCCCTTGTAGATATTCGAAGATATGTGCTGTGTGAACTGTGGTTCGCTGTTGGCGTGCGTGTAGCATGGCCACGATTTGTTGAATCAAACTTTAACAGCTTATTCCTCATTCGGGCATCCTGACTGAAGTCGTACTGAGCGTTCCTAGTCAGGCGACTGGCGGTCACTTGTCAGGCTCGAGCGAGCGGTCTAGAACACCATATATTGTATAACCATAGACTTGCCGACGCGGATCCAGCTAAACCAACAATGCCAAATTGACATGACGGTGCGCGTGTTGACTCAAACAAGGTTTCATGCCTCATCAAGCTCGCCTAATATCTCCAGCCCTCTCCATACCCCGCAGCTAAACGGAGTCCAAAGGCTTAACACATCTGTCAGTGGTGTCCTCTACGAACCTGGGAGCTAAACGTTACCCCCGAGCCGAGATTCAGTCACGACAAATAGTGTATTTGAGAGTTTTCGCCAATTTGGCGATCGAGAGGAATAGTGTTGACAAGTTTCCGGTCGAAAATCCGATTTGCAGAAATATCACGACTGCAAAACCCACTGGAACCATACAATCCCTCCCCAATCACAAACCGCAGACTGGCTCAAACTTGTTTGATGTTCGCATTAAATTAGTTTATCCTGTTCGGTACTAGAAATTTCATGGGGGATATTTTCGATCCAAATCTATCTCACTGCTTACAGAGGTACCCTTAAATTCAAAAGTCATACTCGCAATCTAAAATTCAAGTAGACATTCATCCCACCGTAACTATCGCGTGCTGTGAAAGTACTATCGAAGCATCGGTTATATATTCGTCTATACCTTGGCTAAGGGCACTGGTGACTATACCTGCGACCAAATACGCACAAAGTTTCTCCGACACATCAACCAGAACATTCAACAAAAGCTGGAAAATTGATGCTACGGTCTTGAGCACTTTGACCCACATTTGGCCCCTATGGTTAGGGGTACAGCAGCGACGGGGCAAGACTAGAGGGATGGAAAGTCTACAAAGATTCTGAGATTGCGATGACAATTAAAAGATGGAGGAGCTGCCTCATTCGAGGAATAGAAGGCAATAAAATCTGAGGAAGACTCGTTGGGCGACAGGATGAGGTCTCTAATGGAGCAAACAATCCCTGGATGAGATGAGGAGATGCGGGGACGAATAATGACCGGTATTGGACGGAAAGGATAAATTAGATACTGGGAGGGTGTCAAGGGTTCGAGCGCGTGGTAGTAGAGAATAAGGAGGAATTTGCGTTTCAGCGCGTGAAATTCGGGTTCTCTGGGTGGTTGGACTTGAAATGTTCAACACATGAGCAGAGTCTGAGGTGGTCTGGTCTTCTAAGTGGGACGAGGTCTATGTACTTCATAGCAGTTGACCTGATCCAGCCCCACTAGTGCTTGAGCTCCCACAGGAATGCGCAGGGTCCCAATTGCCTAGCACGTTAATATACAAACGTGCAAACCCCTGAGACGAGGTACTGTTTCAATCTAAAGATGCCCATTCTCCGAAAGCTCTGTTCACAACAAAATTTTGCCCATCAGAGCTGGGGATGGCGTTTCGAGATATGGCACGAGCCTTGGGATCTTTTAATAAGTATTAATGAGAAATCAAAATTTAATTTGCTATTAAGTTTTAAAGCTGGTAGTTGGTGAAGCAGTAAGGGGGATCCCGCAAATAAATTAAGGAAACCCCAATCAGAATGAAAAGAAAAGTTATATGTAAATAGTCTGTCCTACATAGTTATAAACTCTAATAGGACATAAATGGATAATTAATTAAAGCCAGTAGATGGCTTAGCAGTTTCTCGTGGTCATAGACTCTGTTGGAATTTCGATTTAATTATTTACTTTGGCGTGTCGAGATCCTGCATGCTCTGGCTTGTTTCGTCTCTCTTTGGGAAAAGATCTTCCATTAGGGGAGGCGTCATGAGTCTAATCGTGAAGAGGTCTAGAACCATGGGCATAGATTGCCCGCGCAAACCCCGACATATCATGGATAGCCCTTGCCGAGGGAACAGCGGCTGTCTATATCGGATAGTCAAGAAGCCTTCACCTTCCGTCTCTGGGCCGCAAAACGCACTAAGCCTTAGCACCATCTCCTACCGCTGGTAGATCCCGCCGACGTCCGAACTTCCCGTTGAGGCGCGGGTATCAGCTAGGTGGAATGTGATGCGTGGGGGGTTTCGTGGGTCTCGATACTGTGGAAACGAGACTGACCGAGTGACGCGGTGACGTTGAGGCTGACAAGAATACACTCATGTCTCCTCCCAGGCCCATCCATAACCCAAGTTATACTTTACCGACAATTGAATACGCGCGTGTCTTCTCCACGACTCCTGTGAGTGAGGCCGGCCTAGAATGTGCAGCACAGACCTTTGGGTAACTATCCTCCGGCTCTTCTCGCGTCTATCGCTGAAACATCAGAGGCATACCTCATCAACTCTTTATCACGAGGAGCTCCAAGTGTGGCGGATCAATTATCGATAAGACGACCTCTGTATCGATAGTATCTCCACCTCAGCCCGTCATCGAGCCCTGTGTACTCTGCTGGCCACGAGTCGTGGATCGGCTCCAACGCCTGACTCTAATCCCCACCATCTCAGGGCCACTCTCTTTACATTTTGGCGCAGGCGCTTATATATCGGGCCTGTAATTTGCAGGGAGCTATCCACGTCGCACAATCGTGCTCACGTCTTGGGTAAACCCTCTGTCGCAGCTGAGTTCGAGGCCAGCCTAGCCAGCAGCACGGCGTAGAAGAATCTCCCGCAACATTGTGATAACTGGTCAGCTGTATGGAATAATTTCCCCGGTGAGGATGCTGAGTACACCGCTGAAGGGCTCCTAGGGGCGGACCAGAACTAGCAATACCAGGCGATAAACAAGGGAGCTTCACAGATATGGCGTATATGGCTAATCTCTCGAGGCCGTTACACTAGCGCTATCACCTTGGCCGATATCTACCGCCGCGACTGAGTGCCCCAAGTATTGAGGCAATCCTGTCCCCTGCCTCTACTAAGATTCCGACAAGCGTCTTCTAATGCTAGCCTGGCGAGCAGTCAAAGAGGGCAGTGTTGGGCACGAAGAAGCCCATTACAATCTGTCCACAGCAGACCGTGACAGTACCACGTATCCGAAACGAAGATGCCAAAAGTAATCAGGCCTCCTAGGGGCTGTTAGAACCAGGTTGACACAGTCTGGCATGCGGCGGTGTGGCTACCATATTTCCCCATGAGAGCTAAAACGAAGGATTTAGCCTATCAATTCGGCTTATGGCCAGTGCTGCCAGCCGCCTTATTCGTGTCTAGTGCTGGTCTTCCTTACCGAAGGCGCCAGAAGGGGGAGTGTAGACGACGACTATACTGTTATATTGTTGTTGCTAGTACGTCACCCCCATCCGACGTCGACACGCCTGGGTCCCATGTACGCCCTCGCACCGCCGTACAAAAGGCGGGTGTAAACGCTGTGCGCTGCTTACAGACACCACGATCGTCTTCACTATCCCCAGCTCCGTCTACCCGCCATCCGCCCGACCATGAAGTTTCTTTCTGCAGCTACCAGCGTGCTGTTTAACAGCTTGTCCGTTCCCGTCTATGCCATGTTCTCAGCCGCGCATGGGATCCCCCTCCAACCAGTGCCCGTGCAGGACTACACTTTAACTTTCACATGTGGCAGGACCTTGTACCCTAACGGACAAATCGACTTCGTTCTTGGGAGAGTCTACGGAACTAGAAGAGAATCTAGACCCTATCCAATGGTATTCAACAAAATAAGTTATGGGGTATCTACCACCGTCTACATCTTTCCTCTTCTGCCAAATTTTAGATTATACAGTGATGGTCTGCGTGCTCTTCAGATTTCACTTCAGACCTCTTTCCGGCTAACACCTCGCGACAGAAAAAAATCCGAAACATTTCTTGGTCTTCACTGATGACAAGTTAGTTTTGGGCGGAGTGTATCTTGAAGATACGAATGAGGGTCGTGTATTCAAGCCATGTTACTTTCCTATGCGTACGAGATTCTTGGCGACTTGAACCAGCCCTAATAGAGTGATGCTCAAAATGGAAGCTCGGCGGGCTCGATATTTCTCAGAGGATTTGGCAGAGCTTGGACTTGCTAGCAAAGGGTGCGAAGATGGATGGCTGTGCTTGATGATCTGATTTGCAGCGACAGGCACGGGCGGCCGAGGGAGCTGGGCTCCTCTATGACTTGTATGCAGTTTTTTGGAGAAGATGGGAGATCTAGAGGGGTATGTTCCTTGAAAAACCACACTTTTATCTTATCTCGCAGCGGCCTGATCCTGCTGTGAACTAATTCAGAGGGATTATTCTGGGACTACAATTGCTCGGGCCACTATAATTGATCAACCGAGTCGTCCCGTGTACTAATATTTGCGTAATTCAATACAACTGGCCTTCATGCATGCGGATATGTGAATAGAGTAAACCGAGGCGGTGTAATGGTCAGAAAAAAGGTTGAAATGAGGAATAGCGTAACCTAGATGGAATATGAGCTTCCGGGCCCCAAATATCTCACATGTATGTTTCTTCGCTTCCAAAGCTCCCGGTCCATAATGTAAACTATGAATCTTTGCTTGTCGAACCGTATTAATACACAATACAACAAACAATTGTTTGACACCTCAGAAAGTCAATGTCCCACGCTGACTTTATTAAAAAGCTTCTCGGGCCCAAGTGCCACGATAGCTTCAAAAATTTTGCGCAGGAAACCGGCTGTTTTGATAGACGACCTGCTCACTTATCCACTGCTCTCAGTGGGGATCAGATAAACTAGTCATTGCCACAACGCATGACACGAAAGGGATCGATGCGAGAAGTGTCGTTTCTCTGAGGAAATCTTTTATGTACTTGAATTTAGGGTTGAAGGATGGAGTCTCGATTTCGGAGTCGGAGTAGGTGGAGTCTTCTGAGTTATAATTTACCTCCTACTTTTTCTGTAGCAGGTCTCGCGGTTGGAATGAGTTGGGCCTGTTAGCAGTGATCCTCGCCGGCTCCACCAGTCTTGTACCTATAGTGGACCTAGAGCTTTAGCTTAGGACTTTAATATAATAAAAAATAAAAAAAAATTGTTTGACACAGATGCTGGTAATCTACGAAGGGCGTCAAGGTAATCACTGTAGAGCTAACTCAAAGTGGTTAGATTGGACCTATTTTGGAAATACGGGACTAAATCCCACTCCGGACGGCATTTTGTAGATCCTAGGTCCCGTGACTTTGGGCTGCGCACTAATTCAGACATACCACTTGCAGTTTGAGGAAGGGAATAGACAAGGAACAATCTACTTCATTACAGGTCTAACTTCTAGTGACAATTGTTAGCAGTTACCATACGTCTCGTCTGATAATCGATGAGAGACTTGGCAGCACAAGCTCTTCATTTTTTACTTTGAGGATTTTGACGGAAATAGGGTAAAGACAGGCCGTCTTTAGAGTTTTTAGGAGGCCAGGATACAGCGGTATGGCAGGAAACAAAGTGGCCAGCTGGGATATGTTTTGGCCGCAACAAGGACCTACCATTCCTTGTGCATTTCCGAATAAGTTGGTCCACGAGGCAATGAATTAAGAATGTCTGCCACGTCAATCTCCCACCAAAGCTCCATCAAGTATGTTCGTTTCCATGACCATACTGCTCATCGTCTCAGTCTCTAACCATCGCACATACGCCCACGAGTCTACGTATACCTGCAGAAGTACGGATCGTGATGCATTAGCCTGGGAGTCAGATTTTTGGAGGAGACGTGAGGGATCGTCAGGTCAAGTGGACAAGATGATTCGAGTCGTGGAGGGAATCGGGAATGGGGGGACATTGTGAAATTAGGCCAGAATTTTTACAGATTGAAGAGCATCGTGCGCGCCGACGACGCGAGAAACACCGTCATGGCAGAATGGTGCAGCTGTATATCGTGTGGGCCAGTCTCCCATGTAGCGTTGGCTAGCTTGGATACCCAGCTCACTTGAGCCAGCCTGCACCACCCTCTTCGTCGTACTCACGTGCGTAGACTACGCTAAAGTTTTGCATTCCTCTTTGACGACTACTTGCGGACGAGCGTCGACGCCTTTGGGAGGTAGGCACGCGGACCTTAGGGACAGGTGCGGACGGAATACAGAGCGTGAGCGTCTCTGACCTCGCACTGGCGAAGCGGATTTGCCATCAAACAGAACTCGCTAAAACAATTCTACTCTTATTTCCCCCGGAATCCCACCACTACACACACTGACCTTGATTGTCATGATTTCTCCGACTAAATATAGAGATGCGCTAGGGCCGGGCAAGCTGTGGCTCTCATCAAGATTACCGGCGCCGACCCGGAGGAACGACCCACACGCGTATGGAGAGCTACGATTCTGAGCCGCGAGTATTTTCAATTGACTCGAGGATCTTGCGTGCGCGATGGCTAGTCGATTGCTTCCATTCAGGTTATTCTCGGCTGTGAGACTATGGTGATTGGTGCTAGATATCCACACACACACACAACCATCTTTTGGAAAAGCCAGACTGCCATGACTGGGCCGGGGAGCGAGGAATGCTGGTACCTGGGAATGAAGGATTAGCTTGTGCGGGCAGCGAAATTTCGTTCCGAGCATGCAATTGCACTCCCCGAGCCCTACCTGTTGCATCTTGCTCAGCTCTCCGCATCAACTACTTGGGCCACAAGCTCTATCTGCTTGCAGAGCCGCCGTAGCCAACCCACTTGGTCACGAGCACAAGATGCTACACTCGTGCACTGTGTCTCCCGGATATCGTCACAGTCAATGGCAAAGTCTAGACATGCACCCGGCGAGCAGGAATCATCATGTGCGCCTAGACTGGTGTATCCTCACGCACTTTCAGATTATTTTTTCTATTTTCCCCCTTAGATGAGTATCCCCCCCCCTCCCGGACCCATTATTCGCGATTGTGGGAGTAGCTACACTCCCTGTTAGAATTATATGGCATCCCTATTATCGGGATTGCTAGCTCCACAGCTGTCACGGACCCGCCAACATCCCAGCCGCAAAGTCGACACACACGTGACCCGATCTGATTGCAAAGCTCGGCTTCTATTCTTGAGTGTCGCGATCCTCATCTTACATAGCTCGAATACCTCGTGGCACGCAAAGGTCTTTTGTGGCTAGACGTCACGGATAACTATGCCTTGGGTAGTTTTTCCTCTCCTCTGCTTTCTCTATGGTCCTGTGCCTGGTCAGACTTTTCATTTAATCATTTAACATGTATTCGGCCATCTAGCCATGACACATATCGGTACTCTGTATACACATTGGATGACTCTTTTGACACCAGAGACAGCTATACTCTGGATTTCATTTGGGAATACCACCGCGAGGTGTGTGGGCTATCACAACAATCGACCCTCTTCCATAAATACCCACCAAAAGGACGCTTCAAAATTTTGGTTCATCCAAGCATGCCTTTGTCATCTATGTAGACCGGCGCCGCGAAAAGAGCGGCAGAGTTTTCCGGATTCGAGCTAGCCATCTCCTGTTTGAAGTGGGATGTGCCCAAGCTGTCCAGGATCTATCTAATACACCAGCATGCATGATGTACCATTGCACCAACCGACCAAGGCGGTGATTAAAGTGTCGCCTGCACTCTCGCAATCGAAGTGATTACAGAATTTCTCAAGTCCTGAGCTAAAATTAAAGCTCTACATCCTATAATGCGTACAGCATAGGTAGAACCGGCGGAGGGCAAGACTGAACACCTTTGAGTGGTGTCCTCTAGGAGCCTGGAAGTGAAATATTCTCCTAGAGCCAAGTTCATTGAAATTTCGCAATACCAGTGAAGTTGGCCCACGAGGCAATGATTTAAATTGCTCCACCACGTCGTTTTTTTCGCACCCAAAGAGTTTCACTCCTACCAAAGTCTCATCAAGTCTACAAATACGACCTAGTACATCCTCATCCCAATGACTACACCCTTCGTCGACTTTCTCTGGCCTCAGCTGGTCACCAATTACACGCCCGACGGAGGAAGCAAAGCGTGGCGCACAAATCTGCAAGACGATTCTTTGGGATGGACGTGAGAGGGACCAGGAAAAGTTGATAAGATGATGCAGAGGATGGATACAGTCTTGACGGGCGTGAAATCTTGAATTTTGGCAAGGAGCTTTGTGCGTGCCAAGGCTTCGGTTGCGAGAGTGCAGGCGACACTATAAACACCGCCATGGTTGGATGGTGCGGTGGTACATCGTCTTGGCCGATCTGCCAAGTAGAGTCTGGATAGCTTGGACACATATCCCACTTGAGACAGTAGATCGCTGGTTCGAATCCGGCAAAACACAACCACTTTTCTCGCGGCGCTGGTATGCTTGGATAACCAAAAGTTTTGAAACGTCCCTTTGGTCGGCACTCACGGAGGAGAGTCGACTGTTTGTGTAAGCAAGCAAATCTCGTAGTAGTATTTGCGAATTGAATCCAGAGTATGAGTGTCTCTAACGTCAAAAGAGTCCTCCTACATGTTTACATAGCACCGGTCATGTGTCATAGCTCTATAGCTGAATACATACAAATGATTTCAAAAAAAGGATGGAGCCGGCAAGGATCACTGTGTACAGGCCCAACTCATTCCAAACGCGTGAACTTCCACAGAAATGATTGAAGTTAACAGAAAAACTAAAACAAATTTGGAAGAAATCCTGATTAGGACCGGATCCCACGCTTCTCGCCCGTCCCCTTTCCTATCAAATCTTCCAAGTGAAGATTTGCGACCTTCGCCGAGAGCAAAAGACGAGCTCTCAAGTACCCTTTATCCAGCCGGTGTCCTACTCTTTATTTGGTGAAGCCTCGACAACTTCACTCAGGCTCGCCGTAGCCATAAACCTGCTCTTCAGATTTCAGACTTCCGAACGCCGATCTGTCTGCCATGCAGACATCTTTCTATTGTAATTAAGGCAGCAACATGACTGCAGTAGACAAATAGCACATATTAGAATAATATGCACTGGCGCCATGAGATATGATTAACCCATATCATCACTCACTGGCATGAATAGTAATTAGCCAATAGATGCCAG